TCCCCAGCCAGCATGGCTGGCTGGGGAATTCTGGGAGTTGAAGGACACACATCTTCAAGCTGCCAAGGTTGAGAAACACTGGGCCACAGTATATGACGTCCCTGATCTATCAAATCATGACTCTTATACGATCTTCTAAAATGGTAGCTGAGGACTTTCTCACACATATATGTGTAACACAAAGGACCAGCCCACCCTCTCAGTATTTCTACATTCTGCATCTTCCATTATGAGATGGTGGCAGAACTGGACTCACGTGGATCAAAAACAGTTGCATCTCCATCTCAGCAATCCTACGGCCAAGACACTGACGTGGCCCAAAGCCGAAACTCAGCCCTCTGAAATATTTGGAGTCCTCGGTATTAAGCCACCTTTCTGGGTTGAACTGCAGAGGTTTGGAGAAAAATCTGGAATCCCGAAACATTGCATAAAGTCCTACCTGGACTAATGTCTGTGAAGAAAAGATGGGGTGGAAAAAGGGATCAGTCAGGCTTTATGAGTTGAAGAGTTGTATCCAGACAGGGCTGAAAGTAGTATCACCAAGAATGATTCTAGCATTTGCTAGATATATCCACCCATCCTTGTCTTGACATGCTAATAAGGAGGACAAGCTTTATCTCACCTCCACAATAAGTTAGGTGATGCTAGAAGACAATACAAGTCACTGGTGGGAACATGGTCACAGGCTAATATGCACTGATTTATTTAAGCTGGATTCAGCGATACTCATAAATGAATAGTTACTCGTTCTTTATTCATAATCCTATGTTCTTCCTTGAGATGGCGGTGTCAGGAAAAAAAATAAATCCTAGCTAAGCATTGAGGCTTAGCACAAGAATTTTCCACTCCCCCTTCTCAGCTTTTGAAAAAACACTACACACAAAGGACTGAAAATTGTGATTCCACCAAGCCAGCAAAAATTGCCTGTTTAGGATAGGGAAGCAAATTGGTGATCACTGATGATCACTCTGAGAACTCTGAATTAACTGAAGCCGTTGTGTTTTTAAAAGGTAGTACAGTTCAATCAATCAATCAATCAGTCAACCCAAATCAATCTACTGCAGAATGGAGGCCTATTCATCTGCTTTCCAACTGCTTCAACATACCACAAATTATTTCCAGTTCTTTGAACTGAGTTACATCATCTGCCCGGTGTGTCTCTGGGCATTTTCTGGGTCTATATCATGAATATCAGAATGTATTCCAATAGTATTATAATATTAATAATATAATAGAAGGTGTATGTGTGCGCATGTGTGTGTGTGCATATGGAATATTAGAATGTATTCTTTCATGCAAGTATGGAATGATGTGCTGCATTGGTTCAGAATGTGGGATGCTCCTTGTGTGATCTCAGGTGAATGACTATCTTCACCAGCTTCAGAACTTTGAGGAAAGGCAGGGTTTGAAAATTGTTAAAAACCGTTGTCGTCATCATCATCATCATCATCATCATCATCATCATCATCACTGATTACTCACATTGGCAGGGATGCAGTAATTTTGAAGGGCAATCTCTTGGGTCGTATATCTCTGTAACGTCACTGCAACTGGATGGAGCCTTGGGTGAAATCAGAGGAAGAAGAGAGAGATTCATGATCTAAAAAGTATTTCTCCAGCCCAAGGAGCTCAAATCCCAGGATCGTGGGTTGCCTTTTCCACATCACTGCAATTCCCCTGGTTACTCAAAATGTACAAAATCAATACACAACTTCTCTAGATGCTCCATGCTATCCTTAATACCCCATCATCATGAATGGGAGCCAAAACTTTGCAGTTTCCATTTGTGGAATGGTCACTGTGGTTTGAGGAGAGAGGGTTATCAAAGTAGTTCTTCCCTCTCCAAGTTCTCTCCCCCCACTCCTTAATTCTTTAATATATTTATTTGGAACTCCCATTGTATTCAATGGACCTCTGCTTCCATGAAATATTTCCCTGGGTCAATGGAGTTGGCCTGCTACAGAATTCCAAAAAGGGGTTAACTGACCCTATCAGCCATCCCTAGGGAGTTAGATTCAGCCCTGAACGGATATAGTCCTACATAGGATTAAACAATAATTATAACCTATATATATTTGATTAGTGCTTTATTTTGAGTAACTCAGTGTTGGCAACTTTAAGACATATGCACTTCAACTCCCAGAATTCCCCATGCAAGCGAAGTACCATGTTACCTTAGTGTTTCTTTGATAACCGCTTTGAGGAGTGGAATGGATTTCATCATTTTCACAACATCTCCCTGAGAAGATGCTCTGGCTGCAGAGATTTCAGACCGTAGTTGTTCCTGAAGGTGTGGCACGCGAGCAAGTTCATACAGAGCCCACTGGAGTGTCATGGAAGTCTGGATGAAAATATGCAATATTGAGCAATGGGTACAATGTACCTTCTCAGCCATTCCTGCAAGAATATGTGTGTTTCCTTTAACACACAATGTTCAGGGTTCCTAACTGGACTGAAGCATCTCTGGGCCTTCTTAGTGTTTATGGTTGACCCATTTAGCAAGGAAGAGGGGCCATCTCCCTTGTTTAGCTCAGAAAGAGGGAGAAAATGTTTGGAGTTGCTGGAGGGAGAGAGAGGGCATTGAAGAACCCATAAGTGACCAGAGGAATGCATGGAGTCCCATTTAATGGCCAGCAGAATGCAAAGGTCACCCATTCCTCAAAGAGTTCTTCAAAAAACTGAATAGAACCAAAGCCACAATTTGAAGGGGACATCATGCTTCCTATCAAGAAGGAACTAATTGGTTGTAACACGGTACCAAAATCTGTCCTAGAGTTGTCCAACTTTTCTTCCACTAAGAGACTTCTGTTCTTCTTCCTCATTCTCAGAGTTTTTTAGAATGTCTAAACCTGCAGTGTTTCTC